TATTTTTGGCCTCTAGGGACCTCAAAACGAAAAAAAAAATCGGTCCCGGGTCCAGGTCTTACCATGAGTACTACGGTAATAGCTTATTCCCTATATGGGAAATTCGCTAACAAGAAAGAAACCAAATAAAAACTAATTTATCCGAATTTCTAAATTAGTTTATAATTAAGTTCCATGTCTCCTAACTGTTCTATATGCTAACATGTCAAATATACTCAAGAACACTTTGAAATAGTTGTAACATAAAAAAATATAATATAACGTGTGGTCTTATTACCTCAGTGACCGTAATGCATTTTTATATCGGAGAGGTGAGTTATATTTTTCTAATGCAGAGTAATTGCAGCCCAAATATAAATTTAGTCATGTATTTTTTCAACCCTCTCCCTGCCCTGTTTTACTTGTGGTAAAGGACAACTAAATTTACTGAAACGCGTACGAGTCCATTAAAACATTAACAAACACAGTGTTCAGGTTTTTGTATTGTTTCTGCCCCAATAGATAGGTTCAGAGCATTGTCGCTCTTCTCGCTGGTCATAAGCTAAAGCAATTATCCCCTCATGAAATATGCATTAGTTTCTCGTACCACTAGAATCGTGGACACCAAATTTGATGGCGATAATAGAGGTTTTATGGGTTTATAAGACTAGGCGTTAAGCTAGTTTGTATAAGCTATGATATAAAAGTATGAGCTATTACTAAATATTATTTACTTAATTTTATCTCTATAACTTATCTCAATCTTCCCTTAGCTCTGCACTCTGTTGGGTAAATAATATTATACAAAAATTAGTTAAGAAATGCTACTGGCATAATTGGATGAAATTTTTTTTAAATAATTGAGAATAGATCTTACTTGTCTCCAAATTTAGATGGTTTGAATATCAAAAGTAATATTGTGTATGCACTTCTCTCTATTTCTTCGCTCTTATTTATTTTATTCACCGATTGGTTAGCTTTTCCTAATTGTAACACCTTATTTCATGAATGAAAATGAAAACTGAACTTGCCCAAAATATTAAGAATATCGATGGTTTGTTAAGCATGTAATACACCATACATATTTTACATCAATGTAATATTAAGTTTAGTATGCAGCTATAGCTAAGCTTTGTTTTATTTCAATGTAGATTTTTTTTTGTTGCCATTACCATTTCAAAACAATTTTTGTAACAAAACGGTCAAATGACATGGATTCAGAGACCATTTTGCTTGACATAAAACTAGCAACCTAGCAACCTTCGAACAAATCGATCGTAGCAGCAAACATCACCAGAATTTTCTCAACTATTACATTACTGTTTGAAGTCACGTCGTAAGAACTCACCACCACCACAAAACTGGACACGGATAGTTTATAATACCGTAGCCAAAAGGTATCGCAGCTTCAAACATTTTCCACCAAGAATCTTTTCATCGTTATAGGCTCTTAGGCGTATTGTTGAGCAGGCATTTTACACTGTCATCAATCATGATGAAAAGTTTTGGCAGGTTTATCTTAGACTCTACGTCAGCTCTAGCAACGACAGCGTCGTATCATGGGATGGATTATGTTCAAATATTGTGGATGTATCGGCTTTTGATAGATTATGATAAATATACTACCAGTTTGTATTTAACGTTGGTTATTAGTCGTAGTAATTCACATAAATATATAAAATAGTCATAAAGCAAGGAATGAATTTGAAAAATGTTACTTTGGTGAAACTGTACATAATATTAACCTATATAATACGCTCTACTCGTAACCTATGCTAAGAAATACAATTACAAAAACTGTGTAGAGTGACAGGTTCATATCCAAAGAATTCAATGTGTTTTGACCTCTTTCACTTAACTTTGTGTCTAAATTATTCTCTCTTGATACTAGAAGGAATGTTAAATATAGCCTTACGATAGTAATTATGCATAATTAAACATACCTTTAAAGTATTTTTAGGAAACGAAAAATTCACTTACTAGGCTAGATGTTCACTATTGATCTGCATTCTCTAAAATACAGTAGCACAAACACCAAGTACTACATTAAGCCGCTTAGTAAACTAAGAATATTATTCTAGTAAATATTTTACACGAAGAGCAAATTTGTTGTAGTATTTACGTCCAAAAGGTATTTACCGTATTTAGAATCAAAAAGAGTGCACAGCTTGGTAAAATATAACATGTTTGTAAGTGAGATATAATAAAATATTGTTATTTATATACAGCATCATAAAGCATTAAAAGCTCGAATATTTCTATTACTACATATAACTAACGGTTCCCAAGAATGATATAAATAATTTAAATAATAATAATTGGACCTCAAAAACGATATATGAACAAGTATGTGTACGTTACGTATTTTAAGATTAGACACAACATTATAAATCCCTAACAAAATATCACTACTTTAAAATTATAAGTTAAAATACACACAGTCATATACATGAAATAATAAACGATAATAGGAAATCTCCTAAAGCAATCTATTAAGTGCTATATATTTATTTGTTTCAAACACAATATCTTATCACCAATAAATAGTTCGATTTTATCTTACGATATAAATAAAGTAGATAAGGTAATCTGATATAAATTGATGCATCGATAAATCCACAAGAGAGAATGGCCGTCCGATGAAGTTATATGTTGGCGGACCTGCTATAAATAACACCAACATGTTTAAGCGATCAGAAGCTGGAGACTATCGACATTATTGATGATTTATCAATTTTATATAGCGTTAAACTAGATTCTGACCCAGCTAAAATACATCTACTACTAATAACTAACTAAGAAAATGCCTTAAGAATTAATAATTTTAGATGTTGGTTAAATATGTTATTCAACCTGAAACTATGTGTCTGGAAGAGACTTCCCTTCTCAGATAAAACTCTTGATTCATTTTTAACCTGTCAAATCACTTGTTTGTTTATTATAAATACTGATATATCATAATCAAAACACTTTTCAAGAGACCTTTTAAATTATTCCACTGCCATTTGGAGAGTTAAATACCTGAAAGGTTGTGGTAAGTAGAAATTTAAAACGTGTTTATAATAAACGGTCAAAAATATTATGTTGTTAACTTTAGATATAACTGTTATGTTGTGTTTTACTTAAAATCCGAAAACGCTTAATTAGTTCTTGTATTCACAATGAATATAAATAATTTGCTTTTTTATAAATACATACTAGAATCTCAATAACCAATTTACTGATATAAAACGGCTAAACAGAAATACTCTAAAATGTATTAGTCACTCACACTGAAAAATGCAATTTTTTAAACAAACTGCTTTACTTATTGAAATAGGTTTGTTTTGTTTCAAAGTGATGCCACCTTTATTTAAAATCAATAACGATTTTAAAGTGGAAACCTAAAACTGACGATAGTGACGATTTGACATTGGATGTAAAGTCACTTAAGCATGCTAGATTGAGTAATGTAAAGCATATAGTTTTTTTCTCAAACAAAACCAAGCAGTTAGACATTTCTGTCACTTCGAGGTATAAGTTTGCCTGGTGACATATACCACAATTTGCTGGTTGACACTCAAATTCATTATATTTCTTTGAGTGTTTCTATTTTCTTTTCTTTTTTTTACTGAAATCAATATATGTTGTCAAAGCCTTTTTTATTTTGAATGAGCTATATAGAGTATACTACTTTTTAAATTTAAAATTAGGTAATATTGCACATACTACACTACAATAGGTATATAAGTAAGACAAGTTTAATTGGGCAAAACCTTTAGTAAGTGATGCACGAAGTGATACAGGCTGCTAAAACTATCACCATTCACTCTTATATTATTATTAAAGTCAACTAGCACATTTATTTTTTATTTACTCTGAATATAAGAGAATTTTACGTGATTTGAGGCTATATTTAGACTTTTCTATTTTAAAGTACATAGCATAATCCGACTAACTTTAACAACCGGTTTATCGAAACGTTGAGGGTTTATAGGTTCAGGGCAAGAAGATTGATGACTATATACCGTTAACGCGATATCAGGGTCGCCGACAGGAAAGACAGCGTTAAAGTGGTTTAACCCCGTCAAAAACTTTTCTATCTCCTTTAAATTATGAACATTTTTTGTAGCTAACGTATGGGGAAACAGTTTGGAAAAAAAATGTGTCTGCATTTATATGGGTTGTTATAAATATATCAGAAAGTAATCTCGATGTGTTAATTTTATTTACATTTTGGCCATCCTCGCAGAATTTCAAGACTCAAATTACTATTTTATCTTTACCAAGTCATTGAATTGGTGGACCTATTCATATAAATATTTCGGCGAAGCAACAATTCATTTTACTACAATTATATCAGGCAGTTTATTATGTCACTAAATATTATCAGTACAGTTTATATTTATACTGTACCGGCTTACCCCTTGCTTTGCTGAATGTGTTTCATACACAGGTCCGATGCCTGTGTAAGCAAGCAAATACAAGGTTAAAAGAGTCACCAATCTCTTAAAACAAAATTTTTATAGTATTAACAAGTCTAATCATACACTGGAGGTATAGTAATATCCAAGGTAAAGCAGTAATTAAGGAGAACTGTTGTAGTATAGATGTAATAATTTTTTGAAAAATTTATTATTTCGTTTCATCCATGTGTTAGAATATGTAGGATAATAACAAATACTACAATAGTAATACCATGGATTAAACATACTCCCCAAGTATGTACTTGGGGAGTACGTTTAATCTATGGTAATACTCTCCTAGAAGCGAATTGTTATAGTGATAGAATGCAGAGCTTCAGTCCCTGAGGTCCCGGGATAAAATTCAACCTATCACTTTTAGGTTTTTGATCGAGAGAAATTTTGCTTAAAACCGTTTTGAGCGTAGCATCATAATGAGTAAAGCTAACCATCATCAACAAAGCCAAAACATCATCACACATCACTTTGGTGAAATCACATTAGATTAAATGTGACCATAGAAGCCTTAACTACTCTGCATGCAAAGAAAAGTCAACCAGAGTATAAAACATTACTAACCTGCAGTATTTTGCAGCGGTTGGTGACACACTCGAAGTCCACACAGGGTTGGTACATGCCCAATGTGACGCAGTTGAGAAGTATCACTAGCATGCTGATCCGCTCGAACCATGTACAGGGTGTTAAGGAAATACAACTGAATATACATGCATAATAATAATAATAATAATACAATAAAAAATGAATAAACTTACTTAGTATCTAAAATATGATATAAAATGATTATCCCTCAGGTACCCATTTAAAAATTAAACCCCACCATAAAAATCCTGTTTTCTAAAAAATGTGAGCATTTTCAATGACAATATTTAGTTTATAAAACTGATGTGTTCGTTTTTTTATTATATACCTTTTACCTAAACTACCACCTCAATATGTTTTATTGAATTGCTTCAACCAAATTAAAACCAATATAGCAATATTCATCATATTCTAAGTATGAATTTGGAAATGACAGTTACTATACCATGATAATAGTTATACAACGGTCCAGTTTATAAGTTTTTTTTGTATACTTATCTTATTCGTAACTAAAACATATCAACATTCAACTACAAAAAAAATCTACATCAGTTATTAAATAAAAGTTTCAATAATAAATACAAAACTAGAATTTTAATCAAAAAGTAATAATTATTTTGATGATTTGTATATCCAGATTTCAAAGAGTATACAGATATTATGCTTAGTTTAAAAGTTAATGGAATTACTAACTAGCATAAAACTGGATCGAAAGTTGCTCTAATTAATGTTTTACAAAACAACATAATAATACATGCATGTTGAACCCAAATGGAAGACCTAGAATTCGAAACATGACACCTTAACTGCACACGGTGTGAAAAAATATATTGATTGTACACATATTTAAAATAAAGCTCACTGCATTTTATTAACCAATTTAATCCTTAAACAAAAAATGACACAAAGTGTAAAACATTTGATATGTTTTGTCATTTATTTACATATAAAGACATTTTTCTATTCTTAGTGAGCGTACAACTTAAATGAGCGAGGATAAACTGAGATAGCAGATTATAATTGCTCTGAAATACCTTGGGATTAGTTCTTGCCAATTTGTGTTTGCTATGCTGTATGTATTGCAGTAACAGGTAATTCTGTAATTCTGAACATTAAATGCTTAATGTAGTAAGCCTTAACAATAGCGGCTTTACAAAATAGTTTCTATTACTACGCCAATATCTTAAAAATTCAAACTTCATTGCTTAAGCTATGGCCATTGCCGTTCATATACTATTTGATTTAAATAACGCAATAATATTTTGTTGGATGGGACACAACAATATAGTTTCAAAGTTTTTCATAAAAATTTTAAAATATATTTATTTTGATAGTAAATGTAATATTTTGACGGAACAAAACATAAGAATCGTCAAACCTTACGATAGACAAGTAAAAAAAGTCTTAATGCTAATTAAATACATTAAGGATTAATAATGGTTAGTTGAAATATCTTTATGTCACTAGTCCAAAAAAACTGACTACTAATAAATAATGCGTTAGAGCAAAACCCTCCAATATTTTAGATTAAGCCTCTATATTGCATATTTTGATTAAAGAGCATGTTTAAAAATCTTAATGATTTAGAACCCTTTATTTTTTATTTTTTCATTGAACACCGCATTTAAATTAATTGTAACCGACAGAACAATTATGTGCACAACCTTATCCCTAAAGTACAGTAAAAATCTATTTTAGTCCAAATTACATTCTTATCTGGTTTTTTTTCTCCTTTCTATACTTTATGATATAACGGCATTACTTACAGGTATGCACAAGGGTTGGTAACGGAAATACTTTTTTCTCAACAAACATTATTATTTTGGCAAAATAATGCTTAGACTGTTAAGTGTTAATGTTGAATAGTCGAGTAGCACATAATATGGCCTGCTATATTTACAGGTTTAACTTAGCTTTTTTAATAGTAAGACACTATTTTCGGTGGTTTGACGTTTTAAGTATTCTAACACAATATTAGTCTCATTAGTGTCAAAAGTGATCGAGAATCAACTGTACTTTTAAGAAATTTAAATGTAAGACGTTAAAAACAATAATTAAAACACCTCTTAAAAAATAGTTTCAATTTTGACCTGTTGTTAATGAATAAAGTTAACTTTGTTCAAGAAACAACAGAACGGTTCGTTAGCCTAAGCAAGGTTGAAACTAAAGCCTAAGTTTTAATTACACCATTAATTTCTCCCGTGGTTTAAACTTTATCATTTCATCTTTCATGTTTACAAACATAAGTTTAGTAAAATATTACAAATAAATTCATAAAGCATTTTTTACAATGACAACGTGTGTTTTTCAAAAATATTTATTTTCATTTCATTTTGTGTGAATCTAGGTTTTTAGTCGTGTCTTTTATTGACATAAAGCAAAAAATTGCTTCAATATTTAAAACCTTAAAACTCGTATTAGTAAAAATAAATTCTTACAATTTAAAACTAAAGGTAAAACAATGTCATATAATACTAAAATACACTAGTATTTCCAAATTAAGTAATATATCTTTTTTACCAATTGAGATACATGGTCGGTAATTTTGTTTTTCTAAGTAAAATCTTCCAAATATATAGTTTTTTTATTTAATTGGTGTTCCTTGATTTATATGTGTATATATTATGATAAAAATCCACCTATAAAACTATAAAAAATTTAACTTTCATGCAATGCGTAGACATTTTTATTCTAAGAGTAATTACTCAAACAATTTAATTAACTACAACATAGTTTTATGAAATTTGAGTTAAAGTTTTACGTTAATGTTTATAAAAAACACTGTTAATTATACAGATTTCCTTGCAGACTATCTTTATATAAATCGCTTAACTTTCTTTTGTCCCGCCAAATAAAAAAAAATCCATGAGTTACGGTTGCCTTTTAACTGCTGAAATTCCTTCCATTTGTCTGCTTCATCAAGACAAGTCCAAATGAGAGGCAGTTTTCTAAGGAACTAAAATCCACAAAGTTTTAATTAAAAGCATAATTCCTCAGCTCGGAATTATTTGGCGTTCTTCTATTTACATCCGACAACAGTTGAAACTAGTTTGACAACAGTTGCACGTATTCCACAACGATCACAGTGAACTATTTTGTGACAGCTTCTTAACTTTCGTTAATCTGACCTTCCACATCTGGGTCGATGAATTGTTCTTTAAGAAATAAACTCGACCGTAACCGTTGTGCAATAATTTACCCTCAGATTAACTTTTACTTCCATCCGACAGAAAGTTTTGGACCTATTTGCAGGGAGAAGAGTTGTGAAAATAGGAGGGTCCTTTGGTTGGAAAGTATATATATTCAAATAAGTAAGTAAGAAAAAAACACATTCTCTTATCATGAGTTCATATCATTACAGCCTAAGCCTATATTTATACAAATTGAATTTAGAACATTAATTGATTCCATGAAACATTTTGTGATGTATAGTTAAAATTTACACATTTCCTGAATACAGAAGTCCTTTATAATACAAAAAAATCTACATTTAGTATGATATTTAAAAAAATAACAGCGATCAATATATCGTAAACAACTAAAAACGGGAACATTTTAAAATCTAAATCATATTGCACTACAGCAAAAAACATAAATAATGTTAACGTTGGCTGCTAGACTTTTTTTCAAAATTATGGCTTCGACATTGTTTTCCTCTCAAAATTTTCTTTCTTTCAACAGAAGAATCATGAAAAATCTGTCACGTGGTTTATACAGAATCTTCGAATGAAAAATCCGCAGGTTTTTTTAAGCAAAATGTCTTCTGTATACTTTTTGAAAATATCTCTATAGTAGGCCTACTCCGCCAAACGCACACCTGCATAAAATCATTCAACAAGTAAATTATTCAAAACTATTTGATAAAACCAAATTTATGTGATCAACTTTATCACGTACATTTGGCTACAATACCATACCAATTTGAATTTTGTCTATGTTACAAAGCACAAGTAAAATAATAAATGAGTATAATATTGCAACTTACCAAACCAACTCTTTGCCAGTTTGGTTACTGAAACAAAGAAAAATAACCATTAATATTTGGCATACATACATTTCTGACGAATAACTAATTCTTATAATATTAGAAAGTCACCAAGTACAATATACAGTTTTTATGTACGCACGTTATATTGAAATAGCTACTGTAACCGTGCTTCGAAACGGAAATAAACATCCGTTTCAAAGAATGGATTTTCCTTTAATATCATTATCTTGATCGTTAGAACTATCAAAAAAATATTAGTCTGTCATTGATTGCATTTATATATTACAAACGTTCAACATTAGTATTATTTTTATTACACACATTTTGTAGTCAATAAATAATTTTAGAGAACATTTTTATAAATAATATTTGTCAAATTTTTGACAAAAAAGAAGTTTATGTTCCTCAAAATTTGGACATCCACGGGGCGAAGCCCGAGAGCAACTTAGGAAGGTGAATAGGCTTAGGGCATTCCTAGGTATATGGACCATCTTTGTGCTAAGTTTTGGCTAAATCGGTTCAGTATTATAGCCGTAAAAGCCGCACAGACAAACATACAGACGGACACGACCTCCATTTTATATAGTATAGTATAGCATTATACTGTTTTTCTCCATGGTAACTAAATCTACGTGACCGTTATTTAATTTACACCATCCTGCAGGTCAAAGAACATAAAATGTTCACCTAAACTGGTTGACAAAATATATCCTTCACTCTATGAAAAATATTTAATAAAACACACATCGCACAGTTTATAGCAGTGTTTTACAGGTCTGGGCTAAGCTCGTAAAACAGGTCGTCAAATCTTTACAGACGTTTTTGAACTAGAGTTACACACGGGGAATTGATTTTATAGCAAAACATCGGGAGTGGCTGAAAGGGTTGATAGGAGTATTGGTCATATAAATGTTTCTTAGAGGATTTTTAAGCTCGTTTCGTGTCAGAAATATAGCATTTACTGTATTCTCTGTGATATAATCCAGGCCTAGAACCATGGCATTTTTAGGTACATCACTTTATCGCTATGACACCAGTATTATGAAATATTCGACGCTACTAAAGCGTATTTAAACCAAAATTTAAACGGATAATGAATTTGCTGAACGAGTGACGTTTTATTACATTTTGTCATTTCTTTACACATTTTGTTTCTTACTAAGATAAGCTGTTACTTTATATCTATCAACAACTCTCCAGGGGAGCGGGCTGGTCTAATGGTAGAGGGACTTCAGCCAAAGGTCTTGGGTTCAAATCCCACCAAATCACCAATGGATGGTCTAACCTAGGGTATGTAAAAACAATCCTGCGTATAAAGCCTAGCGTTAAAAAATCTACAACACTCTCCAGATGGGTCCAATAAACCATCAATGTTTTCCACCATACCGATAACCTTCAGATTTTTTGATGAGCACTACAATCACCCAGCACCCCACTTATTTTTAGGGTCTTTAGTAGCCAAAACATGGTTTGCTTGAAATTTCTGTGGTTTCTGCATTACATTTTATAATATTACATACCAGCCTTGGTCACTACACTAAGTATGAAGATGGGTATTTAGAAAAGTATCAAATCAAATCATACATCATCTTCATTAAAAAGTATTCCAACTTCAAAAACTCCTGTTATTGTTATATCAAAGAAATTAAAGAAAAATAGTAAAGAATAAATGGATTATCGTCATACTGCACCAAAAACAGCCGTTTTTAATGCATGCGTTGAGGGGCTAATTTATGACTCCCTATAATTTTTAGTTTCTAGGGAGTAAAAATCATCTGTTGTAAACAGTTGTAAATTTCGATTATGGCAATCGTATCGATCAGAATTATTTATCGATTCATTTATTAGGTAAAGTTAACCTATTGTTGTTGATTGCTCGTCGTATCGATGGTATAATGTACTATAACACAATCGTAATAGACAAAATGATTGAATCACTTACTAAACAGTTGCTTATTAGCAGAAGAATTGAAAACAAGCTGGAAATCGTTTTGATAGGTTATTTTTACATCACAATTAATTATTTGGTTTTCTAGCTTTGTTTTATAATTAATGATGCAATATGACAAAAACTATAGTTCACCACATGGTCAAAAAGTGACTTTTTAACCTTCGCTCATTTTCTGACCTCTACTTCGTCTCGAACTTGACCTCGGGTCAAAAAGAGTCATTTCGGCCCTGGTGATGAAATATACTATTACAATATTATCTGAATCGTTTTACACAGTATAAATAGAACACTCTTATATAATCTACACCAGTTAAATATATTGAATAAACTATTTTATCTGTTTATAAAACTTTCTTTTTAAGTCACAAGCTTTTTTTATTCCATTCCCCAATCAATGGTGGATTATTTTAACTAAAAAATGTATTTTATTTTCAAAGGTAATAAATCGACTGACTACCAAAGAAATAATATCATAAATCCAAGGTTTGAACTATATTTGAGGGTCGATGTCTCATCAAAGGATTACGTAGAAAAATAATGTTATAGTACAAAAACTATGTACTCAAATCGAACATAGTTCGTAGTTCGTTAGGACTGAACATCACAAGTTGGCTAATCCGACATATTTTCAATGAAGTACATTTTTATCGCGCGTCTAAAGGCTAGGGATGTTAGGTGTGTTGTTCCTAAGGACATATATCCCTAAACCTCTGAATATTTTACATATCGTAGGACGCAAGAGTCGTTTAGCCGCCGGGAGAAGTTACGATGTTTTATGCACTTCCATAACATCAGGAGAGGTTTCTTTCCAAGAATAGTTTCTTTTTAAGACTATCAATAAAGTAGTTCATCGATGCTGTAAATAGGATTATTTTGGGAGGAGCCTTTTCTTTCTGAAGGGCATTTAAGTTGTTTTACGTGTTAACACTAAGTACAATTATTTATGGTATAACTGATCTCTCACAATCTCTAGAGGTATATGACATTGCACCACACATTTCAATATTCTTGAGTCGTTATGGATTCAATTTTGACAATAATAATAAATTAATGTCTTGTGGCTTTTACGTTTTCTTACATTAGCAAACTACTATTCCAATTCCATTTTCAATTTAGCATCTTGTGCTACACACACAATTGGAAGACTAAATTTATTACAAAATTAAATACTGTCGTTTATAAGTTTAGGATTTGTCAAGGAACCCTTACCAATGGTCCTAACTTGATCTAAATACCCCCGCTGCAGCAAACCTGCCAACTAAGAGAATTTCCATTTGTCTTAATTGATTTTCAATTAAATATATTTTTATAACATTAGGTTTAACGAGTACCTAGGTTTGCTGCTACAAGGAAACTAATAAAGTGTGTTTTTTTGTAAAATATTGATAGCTCAGTACAAAATAAATAAATTTGATCAAAATACAAAATATATCCATAAACAAGCAAACTACAACATTTTACAATATTCTCCATAAGAATAACATGGGAATTTTAAATTTACAATTTTTTAAATTTTCTCCGTTTCTATTAACCGAACAAAAATACTTTTATATTCTAAATTAATTGTTTTTTAAGCTCTTTAAAAAGGTCTAAAGAGAAATTGGGAAATTTTGTGTTTTGAGGGTCAAAAGTGAGAAAAACCAATTTTTACCCCATAAAACCCCCCGTAAAGCCCCGTTCCCTTGGTCCGATCATGCTGGTTCGCGAACTCATTCAAGTTTATCCCGCTTTACACCTTTAAACCAAATGTCATCAAAATCGGACAAAAACTACTCAAGTTATCGCGTTCACGGACGTATATATATATATAAGTCTATATATATATATATATATATATATATATATATATATAAATTTGAACGAATGGTGTTTTTGGCCTCTGGGGACATCAAAATGAAAAAGTAAATCGGTCCCGGGTCTAGGTCTTACCGTGCTACCTACGGTAATAGCTACTTCCCTATAGGGAAATTCGCTAAAAAGTGAACATACAGATTGGACAACCTTCAAAAGAGGAAATGTTTTTAATTAATCTCAATAAGCTAGCTTAGTATGAATTAATTAATTACTTCAAAAAAAAAAACTATTAAAACTATTAAAAAACTAATAATTACTCAATTAACTCTATTGAAAACAATATATCAGTGTTCAGAAAAATACAATTTATTTTGAAAAAAATAAGCAAATAGATTTTGTATAAAAAATTAAAACACTTTAATTAGCGATGCATTGTTAATTAGGGACAACTCAAACAGAGCGCTTAAGAACAATAATTGCTGGAGCCATTAATTTCGCCTCTTAGTTATTGTTTGACATTCCATTATTTAACATCGCTCTGATTTGCAAGATAAAATATTTTGACATTTTAAATTTGTTGAAATACATGAATTTAAGGGCATTTTTTATGGCGTACGTTCTAAACAAATGTCAAACACATATATCCCCTATTTAAATAACATTTTTTTTTGTATTTAGGTTTGCTGCCATAGGGAAGGTGATAGTTTAGCGTCAAATAAAACAAAATACAAATTTGATCAAACTACTTAAAACTACAACAGTACTCTTCTTCTTAGTAATAACACGGGAATTAAACATTTTCACTTTTTTGGAATCTTTCCTTCGACAAATATGCTCATTACAACACTTGAAGATACAAGCTCTAAAAATTAAAAATTATAGTTCAAAATTCAAAATCGTCTGAAGTATAATGAACTAAAAAGAATTTTCTTGTAGCCAATATTGCAGGGTGAATTGAAGCGATAAAGGTAAATAAATTAATATCTTAGGTTACGTGTTAAGCCAATTTTAGTTGGTATTTTTTCTAGAAGTTTTTATGTGTATTTTTCAGATGATTATAAATAACTAAATCGACACTATTTTGGTTTAATCAACTCATAGATTTTCACTTAGATAGCTTTATTTGCCACTCCTCTTAGGATCAATAAGTGAACTTGACTAATACAATTTAATAATTTGCAAACGTTTTACCCTATCGAAAATGATATTCTATATTAGATAAAACATTTAGTCACAATGTTACTTAAATGAATGTACTATTATCTGACAAACTACTTAAGAATTAAAAAAATCAAATATTAATGTACGTGTTAACTTCTCCTGCTACCCCTTTAGCCACAATACTTACAACCCCTAATATTCATCCCTTAGAGGAACACCGTTTCGCAGTCTGTTTTGTTTCGTTAATGTAAACTCTGCGGACCATGAAACGCTTTGCACGCTTCTGAACATTGCCCTGAATTGTACCTGGAAGAGGCATTGTGTTTCTGTCATTTTCGAAATGTGTTACAACGTAAAATGTCGAATATTTTAAGATAGTTGGCCAATTTTCTTTCAATTAGTTTATTATTCTTTTACACTGTATCTAGGTAAATCTAAGCTACAAATTCCATTCAATATTCTAGGACAAAACAAAATCAACCCTGCAAAGAAATTCTTACCATCATCACTATCATGATAAAAGCTTTCTTTCATTAGATACAAAACATATAGTAATGTCATTGCCTAAAAGCTTGAAAACAATTTAATCATCATTAAAATTAAATTTTTACAAAAATATAAAATTTTCCAAGCAAACGGAGAAATTTAATTTCGAAATACAGAATGTCTACACCTAGTTATAAATATATTTGTAATAAACTATTTTATTACAATATTATCTCATACATTTATAAAAGACTTAAACGAAAAA